AGAACGCAGACGGAAGGACAGGTCATTATATTTGAGGGATACTCTCCCTCTAACTCTTTCTTTCTCTCTGTCATTTATATCTGGGCTCATTCTCCAGAAGATTTTGTTGTGGGATTTGGAAGAACTATGTCTGAGTTGGAATTTAATAAGACATTCACTTACAAGAAAGATCAAGAGAAAAAGGAGGAAACAAAAATGTGTGAAGTTGCTCAAATGCATGCATTGAAAGTGAGGATGAAGTTTTTTTCTAATGCTACAAGTGGCACATTTTTAACATAATTTTAATTGTAAATAAATATATCTGTTACTGAACACATCTATTTAAATAAAGTAAGTATATATACTTCTGTGGATATGAATGAAATATTTATAATCACAAAGCAGGATTTATTAAAATGCTCTTAAACCTAAATTATGTTTATAGTGAAAATACTATTATAATTGGAAATCCTGTGATAAGCCTCTGCTAATAGAACAGGGTCTATGGTCACACGGGCTCTCAAAGAATAGTTTTAAGCTTAACAGCTAGAATGCTCCAACTTTATAATTTGGCCCTCTGGAAATAAAGCAAACTGCATTCTGGCATTGAACTGACAGGTTTCTCAGATAAGGAGAACATGAAGCTGAAGCTCATATTTTTTCCCCTCAAATGTCACAAAGATATTAAGCAGAAAATAGTTCAGTGTAGAATTCCTGGTGCATGCATTTAGAAATTTCCCAAATAATTAGCCATATTCGGGAACAATTAAAGCTATGGCAAGATCTATACATTCCCCACATAGATAAAATCTAAATAGGAAGGTATTACTAAGGCCAATCATTTCTCTTGGTGGGCACACGAACACCACAAGGTGAAGATTTGGGCAGAAAGTGCAGTGAGGAAGGCGGAGGAACCACTGTCTTGTTGGTGCTCTGAGCTCCCTGGGACCTGTCTGGCGTTGAGGCAGCGGCACCAACTGTTTTACAGTTTCCTGGCGCAGCAGGGGGACTCTAATGGCCTTTCGCTGTCCTGTCTCTTCTTTTATGCGAGAAGATACAGAACGAATGCTCAGATTGCAGCTCCAGATTTCACTGTGGGTTGTAGTACTGACCCGCTCTGGGCGGGATGGGGGCAGGGAGGCCAGCCAGCCCATACAGAAGCAAATGTTGATACAGGGGAGAAGTTTCAGAGAGGCAACTTTGACAATGAAAAATGGAAACGGTACGTGTATCACGGTTTCTTTGAGGGCCATTGAGAAGACACTTGTGAGTCCCATGCTTCAGAAATGTTCGCCATGGCTGGGACTTTGGGGGGTGGTTGCTCCCCGATTCCTCCGTGTCTTGAATGACTCCAGCTCTGCCATCTCTAGCTCTCTCTTCGCATTCTGTCTCCTCTCTACCTCTGTCTCTCTCAAGTTCATTAGACCCTACGACAGTGTCCTTAGGATTTCGTTTATGGATCATCATTGAATGTGTATGCACAGACTCATTCTATAACGCCATGGATACTGGGTTGGCCAGTAAGTCCATTTAGTTTGTTTTTCTGCAAAAGACACATTTTTCATTTTCGCCAGTAACTTTATTGATTTGGAGATTTCTTCTTCTTAAAAAATATATTTTAGTGATTATGCTATTACATTTGTCCCAATTTTTCCCCATTTCCACCCTCCACCTGGTACCCCTAGTCCCTCCAGCAATCACCCCCTTAGTTCATGTCCATGGGTCATGCATATAAGTTCATTGGCTTCATATTTCCTATACTATTTGTAACATTCCCTTATCTATTTTGTATCTACCATCTATGCTTCTTAATCCCTGTACCTTTTCCCCCCATCTCCTCCTTCCACCTCCCAGCTGATAGCCCTCCATGTGATCTCCATATCTATGATTCTGTTCCTGTTCTGGTCGTTTGCTTGGTCTGTTTTTTTAGATTCAACTGTTGATAGTTGTAAATTTGTTTCTATTTTAATATTCATAGTTTTGATCCTCTTTTTCTTAAATAAGTCACTTTAACATTTCCTATAATAATGGCTTGGTGATAATGAACTGCTTTAACGTTACCTAGTCTGGGAAGCATTTTATCTGACCCTTCATTCTAAATGATAGCCTTGCTGGATAGAGTTATCTAGGTATAGGTCCTTGCTTTTCATCACTTTGAATACTTCTTGCCAGTCCCTTCTAACTTGTAAAGTTTCTTTTGAGAAATTAACTGACAGTCTTAAGGGAACTCCTTTATAGGTAACCCGCTGCCTTCCTCTTGCTGCTTTTAAGATTCTTTCCTTATCTTTAACCTTTAGCATTTTAATTGTGATGTGTCTTGGTGTTGCTCTCTTTAGCTCCAACTTTTATGGGACTCTCTGTGCCTCCTGGACTTGTATGTCTATTTCCTTCTCAAATTAGGGAAGTTTTTTTTTTCTCATTATTTTTTCAAATAAGTTTTCAATTTCTTGCTCTTCCTCTTCTCCTTCTGGCATCCCTATAATTTGGATATTGGTACATTTGAAGATGTCCCAGGGGCTCATTAGTCTACCTTCATTTAAAAAAATTATTTTCCTCTTTTTGTTCTGATTAAATGCTTTTTTCTTCCTTATGTTCCAAATCATTGATCTGATTCTCAGCTTCATCCCCTCCACTGTTGGTTCCCTGTAGATTTTTCTATATTTCATTCACTGCAGTCTTTATTTCTGCCTGGGACTCTTTTATGCTGTTGCCATACACAATGAGTTTCTTGAGCATCCTGATAACCAGTGTTTTGAACTCTGCATCTGATAGGTTGCTTATCTCCATTTCATTTAGTTCTTTTCCAGGAGTTTTGTTCTGTCTTCTCATTTGGGCCATATTTCTTTGTTTCCTCAATTTGGCAGCCTCCCTGCATTTGTTTCTGTGTATCAGGTAGAGCTCCTTTGACTCCATGTCTTAGTAGCATGATCTATTGTAGATGAGTGGAGCTGTAAATTGCATGGGGTGGAGTCTTAGGAGATTGCCAGGGTGAAGCAATCTATTTCACCACTCTCTGGCTCTGTGTAGGGGAGGTCTTGAGGAGGGGACAATGCCACTGCCTGGCTTTTGGAGGTTTACCCAGGAGGAACCTCTCTCCTGGCACTCGCCCTGTTTCCAGTCACTTCACTTTCTATCCCATATGCCACCTGTGCCCTTCCAGCTGTTGCCCTGGTGCTGAATCCCAAAGGGGCTGGATGTGTGTATGTCTTAAGTCTGTGCAGGCCCTTTAGAGGAGTCTGATAATTTGGCAGTTTCTGCCACAGCCCCAATCCCCACTGGCTTGTACAGCCAGAAGTTATGGGGACTTGTCTTCCTGGAGCTGGAACCCTGGGCTGCTGGATGGTCTGGTTTGGGGCTAAGATCCCTCGCTCCTGAAGTACCCCTCCTGATTTTCATCCACCACACATGAATGTGGGATTGCCCATTTCACCACCTCTCTCTGCATCTCTGCCCCTCCTACCCACCTAGATGAATGTGAATTCTTTAAATCCTTGGTTGTTGGACTTCCATACAGCTCTATTTTCTGATGGTTCTGGGTGATATTTGTTTTTTAGTCTAGTTGTAACCCTTTCTGTAGTTGTGTAACAAGGCAAAGCGTGTTTACCTATGCCTCCATCTTGACCAGAAGTCTGATTTAGATATTTTGAATATATCAGCCCCCTCCCACATGGTAGAACATTGATTATTCTCACTTAATGTCTCCATTTGATTGCTATCAACTTCGACTGGGCTACCCAACTGTGGGGTAATATCCATTGGAAAATCTGCAGCACAAAATTTCACAAACCACTTCTGACATGTTCAATCAGTCACAGCACCTTTTACCTACACGGCACAAATCTTTCTTTGCATTTCATTTGCATTTTTACATTTCTTGAAATAATAAAGCACATATGCTAAAAATGTTGTTTATTTTCTTCCATCTTCGATATTAAAATGGCTACACAAAAACCTGCCAATTTTGATGTTTTTTAAATGCATATTGATATGACAGCTGTCACAATACCATCTAACAAAATTGTTTTGAATGAAGTTAAAGACAACTACTAAAACCATCTTATGAAAAAAAACAAATGAGCTCTTTGGTCAACCTAACATCCGATGCTACTATATAGTAAAAGTAAAATTCTGAATTAAGAATGTTTAACACTTATTTTCCATACAGTAAAAATGCTGTTGCTAGAACTTGCAGTTTAGACCATGAAATACTCAAATACTAACATCCAATTTCTACTTTCCTGAAAGAGTAACCACCCAATCTCACTGTCTGCATGAACTCTACAGCTCTTCAGAGGTTCCGAAACGGAAATCAGCGCGCCCCATCCTGAGTTTTCTTAAGCTCCCACAACCCCAGGTGAAGCTGTTTTCACTAAATATGTATCATATGAAACATACAAGTAGGTCCTACTATCAAAAGTCAGCTAACAACTTTCTGAGAACTCCATGATTTCCTGAATAATCTGCCTAAGTAGATGTTTAAAAGAAATTTGAGAATAATATACGAAATAGTGATTCCAAATAAAGTACTTGTTTAAACACAACCTGTGGTGGGAGCTGCTGTACATCCCATTTTTGGTCTGATTTTTTGTGTATACAATGAGATCATGTTGCAAAATTTTCATTCAGTGTTCACTAAATCACTAACTTCCATGGATGTCAGGAATCAACTTTAATGTTGACTTACACCATGCTTAGAGGAAGTATGGAACTTCAAATTTAGCAACATAAAAGAAAATCATGTTCACAGAGTTTCGAGAGGCAAAGAAGGAAACACACGCTTTCAGTGAGCGGACGCGCACCCACCTCCTGCCAAGGGCTGGTCACCACAATTTGTCACCCGTTTGCTGAGGTAAAGCACACTCATCCGAGCAGCTCAGGACCTTCGACGACTTATAAACTAACATTCTAAAAATTAAATGGCCCAGCATGTATAAAAATGTGTGTGTGTGTGTGTGTGTGTGTGTGCAAACCACTCCCCCTGTTAGGACTCAGCAGGCACGCTGCCTTCTGGGATAACTCACCATTCATGTTCTTGAAGATGTTCAGGATCGGCAGGATCTGGCGGTAATACGGAACCAGGGCCTCGCCCACCATCTCAGCCGACAGGACCAGGTGCTGGATGACTTTGAGAGTGACGCAGATGACCTGCCGGTTCCGGAGGTTCAAAGCATCTGAATGGCAGAAAAAGGAACAGGCTGAAAAGAAGGGCATGAACCTCCACAGTGATTAGGTGAATCGACTGGTAGACCATTTATCTAAGCTGTTCTCTGCTGGGGACCACCGAGGGGGTGGGCCTCATTGTTATAGATTCCCAGGATGCACCGTGGCCCATTAGACTATCAGCACCATCTCGTCGGGGTGCTGTTTGTGCTCCCCACTGAGCAGGACGCCTCACCCACCCTCAGCGAGCAGCTCCCATTTCTCCCAGGGAGGCCGTGATGCACAGGGGGCATGAGCAAGGACAGAACAGTCAGCGTCGCTGGAGTTGAAGCACGCCCTGAAGGGTGACAACAGACACATTTTCCATGGACAACCCACCCTGTCCTTCAAACTGGTACCTTGACAGGAAGGTTTGTTTGGGAATGGGGACGGATGTGTGTGTGAGAGGAGACTGCAGGCTGGTCACTCACACTGACTGTTCTCAGTAGAAGTGAATGCCAACTATGTTCACACATTCAAGAATGCAGGGAAGAAAGGCAAAATCTGAAGTTTTTGGAACTTTAAAAGGAATCAGCCGTAACTATGAGAGGCCAGAGAAACACGAAGTGGTTCTAAGGAGCCCTTGTGAATGCAGGGACCAGCTGCACTGCGGGGGTAGGACAGGAGACAGCAGTGTTCATGGGCTACAGGACAGCGCCATTTGCCCCTCCCCTCGGGGAGGACCGGAGCGCCCCAGGCCAGCACTTGGTCACTGACCGAATGAACCTGGCCCACAACCCCACGCTCTCCTGGTCCCCGTCTCCTCAATCATGGGAATCTGACCAACTTTCTAAGATTCCTAAAGGTTTGCAGATTTGAATAGAAGGGCTATATAAAGCACGTGTTATAGAAGGTGATTCAAAGGGGGTGACTTGTAAACTGTGATGCCCCAGACTATTCCAAGACAAAATCAAAGGCTCTTATTTGTTAGATAGTCTACCCTCTTAAAAAGAAAAGAAGGTTGGCTATGACCTTAAAGCCTGTGCCACTTATGGAAGGACGAAAGGAACCAGGCTTTTCAAAGGGACGATGCCACACTCAGAGCACCTGTGGGCCTTCCCACCTCATCCTTGAACTCTAGGTCAAGTTCCCAATCTCCTGAATCTAGAGAATCTTGAGAGCCCTTCAGATTCAGTTTGTTCCAAAAAGAAGTTTCTGCCGTAGACTTTCTCTTGGTCCTGTGTCTCATGTTTCGTAATGCGGCAACCAGGTTCCCAGCCAAGCAGGGTCAAATCCTGCTTCTCATCCCTCACGTTCCTCATGTCACCAAGTCTTCCTGGTTTGTCTTTGTAGTATCTCTTGAATTAATGCCTCCTACCCATCCTCTTGTCCACTGCCCTGGTCTCCCCATCCTCTCTACTTCTCTGTTCTCCACGCCCTCACCTGTCCCCACAACCTGTCTTCCCACATTGCTGCTGGGCGAACCTCCCTAGAATCTGTCTAATGACCTCAGCATCTGCTCACAGCATCGGGTCAGCATCCCCCTGACTCCACTTCCTACAGAATGAGGTGCACACCAGCCAGTCACGAGGGTGACACTGAGGGTAAGTTTGAACCAAACTGAATTCTCAGTAAAGAATCTAAGACAATACGGCATCATTCAGTGGTTGCACAGTTATTTTCTTTAGAACCACAAACAAGTTTTAAAAATACAATATGGTCAGTTTTGCTTTCTCTGGCAACAAAAGGGCAGTTGGCACACGAGAACCCCTCCGGCAGCCCCCAGCCCCTCGTGCAGAGCGTGTTCTGTCTGGGAGCAAACACAGTCAGGATGAACAGAGAAGACCCAGGGAAGCCAACCTGAATATAGCAGTAGATGGCTCACCACTCCAGCACTTAGCCACTTCCAGGCTCTTCCATGTGTGTACTCCTCCAAACAACCGAACACAGAGGGCTGCAACTTAGCCCAAGAGCATTAGCAATGCGGGCACCAAGACCAGGGTGTCAGAAATCCACGGGCAGGTGAGGGGCAGAAGGGCAGGTAGAGATTCCCGCAACCAGCAGGGGGTAGGGCGGGGCTTTTTTCTGGTCTCATCCCACCTAGAAGTTTCCTCTTTTTTGGACATCAGCGGTTACCGAACCCTGCCCGCTGGTTGAGTTCAGTGTCACAGACGAGAACTGGGAGCTTGCAGAAACGCTGCTCTAAGGACTAATCATGGGCGGCAGGCAGACAGGCTCTCCGAGACCCTCCCAGTGAGTCTCCGCCTGCTTAGGGTTGGGGACTGTGCAGAGCTGGAGGGCCCAGGTACAAGTGGTACCCGAGTGTCCAGCTCCTCTGAGCGCCAGGAGTGACACCGAGCACTCTGTGTGAATTTGTCTACTTAATCCTCACTCACCGAGGGCTCACTGAGAATGTGCCACACACCAGTCACGGCTCTTAGAATAGAAAATACAGAACCAAACGAGACACCCCCTGGGGTTTGTATAGTGTAGAGGGACAGACTGGACACATTCTACAAGTATGATAAGGATTTGTAAGAAGGGCGGGATATTTAAACAGCAGATCGACAGGGGCATTCTAACCAGTCTACAGAGTCGGTAATGCTCCCGGACGCAGGGACGGACCCAAGAGATGAGCAGATGTTACGCAGGTGAGGAGTATTCCAGGAGAGGGAGCGGTGTGCTAGAGAAGGGCCCCTCTTGCAAAAAGGAGTTCTCCTTTCACCCCAAGTCCTGCTCTAGCTCATATGGATAGAGTTCTGTTCAGTGACATGTAACCAAAGCCCCGGGCAGCGTAGAAACAGCCTCCCAGGTGGTTGCATCATGGGGTGTATGGTTTCATTGGGATCACTTGGAAGCGGTGGGAAGAGGTATGCAGGTGTCGGTTGATGCCGAAAGGGAGGGGCAGCTGTAGCCCTTTTCCCCAGCTGAACCGCCCCTGGCTCCCAGGTTGCCTTACCAACCCAGCGGGATCGATGTGTGAGACAGCGGGTCGCCGCCTTTCCTCCGACACTCCTTCTCTCCCACTCGGCTCCCTAAAAAGGACTCCCAGCCACGTGTAGCTACATGTTTTGTAACCTGCTTACGGAAGATCAGGCATCGAAACAGAACCACATGAGCGCATTTTTTAATATATATTCAAATAATTGAATAATGGAGTGCATTTAATTCTCACTACATGTCATGGGTTCTGTTTCTTTCAAGAAAGCCTTCCTGTGGACCCTGAAAAATCACAAGCAGGAGAACCTACTGAAAGTATCGGAGGAGGCGGCTGTCCCAGCAGGGGAAGAGCCCACCTGGCGACCGTAGGAAAGCTTCCGGTGGCCGTAGTGGCTGCTGAGCGCTGGCCTTCCACAGCGCTCTTCAGCTGGGGTAAGACAGGCTCACATGGGCTTGTCCGCTACCAACGCTAGATGGTTGCATATGGACTGCGCTGATGAAGGAGTGAACTTCCCATTTATATGAGTTACGATAACATCCAACTTTCGTTGTTCAGCTTTATGCCTGGGTGTATAGTTCATTGATCACTTAGGGATAAATTAATTATCTTCCTCACAATGGCTCGTCATATCTATTAGAAAATGATTATTTCACTTGATTATAGCCCCTACACATTAGCATGGTGGTGTGCAATGTTACCGACTGACAAAGGCTGACAAGTACCAGGTTGGCCAGAAAGTCCATCACATTTTCTCCTCACGATGGCGCTGAGCTGTCTTTAACTTCACTTGGAACAATTTTGTTAGATGGTATTGTGACAGCTGTCATGTCATTGTGACAGCTGTCATATCAGTATGCATTTAAAAAATAAACTTCATCAAGACTGGTGAATTTTTGTGTACCCATTTTGAAATTAAAGATGGAAGACATGCAACATGTTGGGTGTATGATACTTTATTATTTCAAAAAAAGGTAAAAACGCAACTGAAATGCAAAAAAAGATTCGTGCAGTGTGTGGAGAAGGTGCTGTGACTGATCGAAGGTGTCAGAAGTGGTTCGTGAAGCTTCCTGGTACAATTGATATTCTGGCCAAACAACCTCCTGGCTGTGGGGCTGTCTGGTGCACTGGAAGATGTTCAGCAGCGCCCTGGCCTCTGCCCACTGTCAGCCAATAGGGGGAGGTGGCCAACATACTCAAAATACCCAAATCAACCAAGTTATTGGTGGAAATGAAAAATGTGTCTTTTATTTTATGGAAAAAATGTAGTAGACACTTTGGTCAACCCAGTAAAATGCTTCCTTCACTGTCACTCCTAATGGGCTTGAAAATGGGACCTTGTGTCCCCCCGAGTGACCGAGGAGTGGCCCTCGAACCTTGACAGCCATTGTGAAATAAAGCCAGGGACGTACTGCAGAAGCCCCTTAGTTCAGCCAAGAGGGATTTCTTTTTATATTGCCCATTTCCACTTCAGTTCCTCCATTTTTCTTTCTCATCCTCAGGGAACTGACATATACCATTAAGTTGGAAGTCTTTTTTTCCCTTAATATACCAGTAGAATTAAATTAAAAAGGGCTTTTTAAAAAAAACAACAAAAAACAAAGTTCTGTCTTGTTTGAAAAGCTTGTTAACAGATATAAAGAGACCATGACACCCTAGCTTGAAAAACAAGTAAAGTGTTTTCTCTTGTGGGGATGGCCCTGAAAGCCATTGTCAGGACTTCAGCCAGGACTCTCTGGACCCCAGATTTGAGGTCTGGGAGAAGGCCGTGCATGAGAAGCCTGCTGACATGGTCACGCAGCCAGTGGGACCTTTCTGTTCAGAAAGTGGATTTCTACGGGACTGCTTTCTACCCTCAAGAATCATCAGCAAGGCAATGCTGTCAGATATACAGACATTGCTGAAGAATAAGGAAAAATAATCTAAAGTCACAGTGGTAAAACATTCATCTTAGATTGTTATAAGTTACACGTATGACTTTCTCAAGCACAAAATCCATTATTGCTATAATTTTTGTAAAAAGAGAACATTTTCTGCTATTAGATACAGCTCACTACTGTGGAATCGGGAGGAATGAAAACATTTCTACTTTTT